GCCCGATGCGGGGCTTGATCCCAGGACTCTGGGATCATGACCTGAGCCGAAGGCAGATGCTTAATGACTGAGCCACCCAGGCGCCCCAAAAAACAAAACTTTTTATGAAACTGATTCAACCGGATAAACATTTTCTGAGTTTAAGCTGTAAGGAGTTAGGGTCTGCACTATGGAAGACAAAAAGAATGGGACATTATTGTCCTAAAAGATTTTTGGAAACAGCTTTTGGAACTGCCTCTACAGTTTGCATTTTCTTTTCAGGCTGGAATCGACTTCTAGCAACAGCCCAAAGCCCTCCAGTTTGGTCCAGTAAATCAAGCTAGATGTTACAGTTTTGTTTAAATGAAGTGTGACTCAAGTAAAATGAAAGATTTTATGTGACTTGCAAACTGTAAGCTCCAAATTACTTCCAAAAACATTATCAGCAACAACAATAAATTAAGTAGATAATGCAAGAAGACAACCATGGAAAGGACAGCTTAAAATGGATACATTCTAGTTTCCTTAAAAAGAAAAAAAGTTGTTACTCCATATTCACATAGCCCTGGGTACTTTCCTATTCTTTTTCCACTTCCCATCATCTTCCACAAATTGTTGAGCATGCAAAACAAGGAGCCAAAAGATAAGTCACAAATTTCAGGTGATTAGAAGGAAGTTGACTAATAATCCAGTTACAATCACTTCCTTTATTTCTTGCACTTGATTATTTGTTATCTCAGGCTTTGCTAACAGATAAATTTAAGTCTTTCCTTTCCTCAGGACCCATGAGTGATTTATGATTGCCCTTGAAGCGTGAGCAAACACCATGACATAGACAAAACTGTTTGACTGCTATGCTAGTGTATTGATATATTTTGGAAGAAGGGGCCATCAGGGAATTTTTTAATTACCTAGACTTTTTAGAGGAATGGAATTTGTGATTTCTAAAAGATGGAACTGAAAGTACTAAAAGTGGGGCACCTGGGTGGCTCAGTTGGTTGAGCGTGGGACTTCCGATTTCGGCTCGGTGATGATCTCAGGGTTGTGAGATGGAGCCCTGCATGGGGCTCTGGGCTCGGTGGGGCGTCTGCTTGGGATTCTCTCTCTCAAAATAATAAATAAAATCTTTAAAAAATAAAAATCCTAAAAGAGTGAGGATAAGAGCAAAGAGGAAAGAAGTTTTTGCTTCCCCATTTGAAAAGTTTAACAGAATCATTTTATTTTTTTTTATTTTAATTTTTTAAAGTAAGCTCTCAGCTCAGTGTGGGGCTCGAACTCACGACCCCGCGGTCAAGAGTCGCGGGGTCTTCCCACTGAGCCAGCCAGGCGCCCCCAGAATCTTCATTTTAAACTGCAAGCGATCTAAGCCTTAACCCCTTCGTTCTGTGGAGCCGACTTGTCTTCGAGGCTCAAGGCTGAGGGACGGCCGGGGGACAGCTGGAGGGACAGCCCCGCGGGCCGGGCCCAGCACTTCCAGCCTTCGCATCCCCGCAACTGCGGGCCGGGACGGACGCCGGCCGGAACAGAAGCCGCCGCGGCCCTGCGCACAGTCGCCTCGGCCCTCTCCCTGCGCCCGGCGCCCCGTCGCGGCTCACAGGCCCCAGCGTCCCAGCCTCCTTCAACACCCTTCCGCCTTCCCACCCGGGGGCCCTCCTCGGCCTCTGCCGTCAGCCTCTGGGGTCTCTCCTCACCTTCCTCCTTCTCGCTGAGGGTCTCATCAGTCGACCCTTCTTAAATTTTGGACGTCTCCCTTTGCCTTCGCATCTTTTCCCTCAGTCCCAGCCTTCAGTCTGATAGGTCTCCCCTCGGTCCTCTCTCTTGGTCCGCAGGGTCACGCCCCTCCGTCCGCGGGGGTGCCCCCTCTGGGTCGGCCAGATCTCTGCGCCCTCCCTCTGAGGGGTTCCCCCCAAGCCCGCGGGCCCGCCTCCGCAACTCACCTCGCGCCTGCTAGCTCTGCAGAGCTCGCCGGCGCCGGGCGCGGTCGCGGGGCGCGCACGCCGAGTGGCGG